GGCCATGTTTAAGTCTTGTCTGCCGTCGTGGCTACTCATCCAACTCCATGTCAATCAGGTATGCTGAGGTAGATCTTCATACTGTCAGAGATAAACCCACTGTGCCGAAATACCTATCTGATGTACCAGTGTCGAAATTAGCCGAGGTGGTTCGGAGTGAAAGGAAATGCCCTCGGTCGTGCTGTCGACGTCAGTCGACGCGCATTCTCGCCGCTACTGATGCACGTGGCGCCATGCCAACAGATTGAAGGAGGTATTTGGGTGTGGAAATAACAACACGAGCGTACATAACTGTGAGTTATGGACAAACCATCTTGTCTACGCAAGCACCAGACAATATGACGGGGCTTCAAGTCATTGTTTTACTTTCCTGTTCATTCAGAGAACGAAAATACGTTTTCCAGAACAGTTATTGATATAGAACCGCAGATATGTTGATGACGGTTCTAGATATGTTCATGGCAGCGGCTTGAGTTTTAATGCCCGCCAGGCGGTCATAAACGGGATTCCCGTCTAACTAACCAGAACGCCTTGTATAGAGTAAGGGTAGGTATAGGCTTGAGCTCGGTACCTCGCATACCGGTCGTGCAGTGTTGTGAAATATCCCATGATATTGCCTGTCGGGAATTATCGCCTATTTATCACATCACTCGGTCGCAGTATGTTGGCACTAGACTTAGGATGGGTTAACTGATAATCATAAATGAATATACGTTTGTACATAAGTTCCTTCCGGGAAGCGGTTTGACTGTGACGTAGTTTCTTCAGTCTGATTGCATGCGTTCTCATCAACTCAAGACCCGTGAAGAACCAGGGTAGAATAGGTCTTCAGCAACACATGCTTGCCGTAAAAGGCGACTATGCTTGTCGTAAGAGGCGACTAACGGGATCGGGTGGTCAGGCTCTCTGACTTGGTTGATGCATGCCATCGATCCCAACTGCGTGGATCGATGCTCATGATGTCAATCACCGGATTGTCTGGCCCAGACTCGATTATTTACAGAGCGCTGTCATATAGTTGGAATATTGCTGAGTGCTGCGTTAAACAACGAACAAACAAACTCATCAACTCAGATCTGCTTGTATGATGGAAGTTAAGTCAGCGACACCATTACACAATCTCAACAACGTTATCCTGAACTATATTCAGGTCATATCATGCAGTGAACACGTCTCCCTGACCATATACATCCGGACGAGACCCCATGCGAGTAATACACCATTTTTACAGTTAATATTTTGGTAGACAGACTGACACATTCCTTTTGCCCCGTTAAAGTCAATCAGTGTGTGTCAACCAATAACAGAAATAATACTGCTCACCTTTTCTATTTGACATTGATATTTGGTACATCGGCTTCTGTTCAAAATATATACACGTAGTAAAATATATACACGCATGCAGGTGTTATTGACGGAAGGTCATATTACACGGTATGACGTACACGGGTAAAGGGCAAGGTTGGTACGTATGAGGGCCCTGCGTGATTCAAGACATGGCAAAGCTTCAGGAACTTTCAGAAATACATGTAGTTCTGAACGAAACAGATCTGTGAACATGAATGAACGTTAAATTGTATTGATATAAACACTTGCATGTGTTCGACTTCGATAATAAATGTTGGTTGGTTGGTTTGTTGTTTAACGCCGCACTCAGCAATATTCCAGCTTTATGACGGTAAATAATCGAGTCTGGACCAGACAATCCAGTGATTAATATCATGAGCATCGATCCACGCAATTGGGATCGATGACATGCATCAACAAAGTCAGCGAGCCTGACCACCCGATCCCGTTAGTCGCCTTTTACGACAAGCATAGTCACCTTTTACGGCAAGCATGGGTTGCTGAAGACCTATTCTACCCCGGAATCTTCACAGGTCGATAATAAATGTACAGTTCAGGCTAAAAGGCATATTTATCATGCCAATGTCCAACACAATCCAAGTGCACCGTCTTTGGCACGTCATTGTTCCAGCACGGTATTGTAAAGAATATGCTTAATTTAAAAACATGCTATATCAGATTGTTTGAAAAAAGGATTTAAAATCAAAGGAAGACTGGGCAAGGTAAAGTTTTAAGTGAGAGTTCAGTAGCATACTTTATTAGTCAGTCGCCTATTCCAGGAGTGATTTAAGGTTCGGGGAAGTTATTTTTCTAAAAGCGCAAATGTGCTCCAGTAATAGTTTCGGAAAGATGCCAGTGGCGATGACACTAAATAGCTGTGTGAGTATAACGTCACTAGAGAGTTCTGCTGCATGTTTCCTATTTCTACAGATGACTAATCATACAGTGTCATTGGTTGTAAATTCTTACAAAATGCATCTCAAGCAAAGACAAATAAAATACTATAATGTGGCGACCACACACCCAGGATTGTACATACACCACATATTAGGCCACTGTGAACTAATCCTTGTTCTTAATCATATGTTTTTATCTTTAAAACCACTGTTGGTTATATTACCAGGAACAAGGTACAGTGGTCAGCTTTTCCTTCCTTGCCTGCAAGTTGCTGGCCAAATCTTGTTGCGATAAGACAGCACTTCCGGTTCAGGTTCAAGGAAGGTGAAAACGATTTGTTTGTTTTTTTTGTTAAATGTCACTCATCAATATTCCAGATATATGATGGCTGTCTGAATTATAATCGAGTCTGGACCAGACAATTCAGTGACTGACATAATGGTGAAAACAACTCAGACGTATACCACTAGATGTGAGATGTTAACATGTGTCACGATATGATACCAGAATATTTCTCTGTGACAAAAGCTATCTGAGGATGGGTACAATGTGTGAAGCCCATTTCTGGTGTCCCCCGCCGTGATATTGCTGGAATATTGCTTAAAAGCGGCGTAAAACCATACTCACTCACTCACTCACTATCTGAGGAAAAATAAGTTGTGACTCAAATTATCGAAGCACAACATGAAACGCTTGTGGAAGACCACCAGATACAGCGCCACTGTCTGTTGAAACATTTCAATAATCAGTTTGCCAGAGTGACAAGTTTGAACAGACGGTACAACATTTACATTTCATCAGATAAGAGTAACACAAGAGCACATCAGTCACCGCACACCTGAATGTTCTTGTTCAACGTGAGAGGTCATCATTCTATCACGTGCAACACATCCGTACACCAACCATCGAACTGCAGCTGTACATTTCATGTGACCGTGTGCTGCCCGTGCACGTGCAAAACGTGCTAGAAGAAAGCAAGAATGTTGGGTCACTCGTCCGCTTATCAATAGAGTGAAGAAAGACCACTTCAGTATCAGTGTACACGGTGTGTTATTGTACCGTCTATCTTATAGCAGAGGCCTTAAGTTTCGAACATTGAATAACCCGACGTTTCATTGAGACCTGGCCTATGGTTTGTGAAAACAAATGTGGTACCTCTTCCGTAAAAAAGGTATAGTTACACCGAAACGTCACTTTGAAAGAATAAATACTTGGAAATCCGTAAATCTTCATTGATACTAGAGCTTCTAAAATGCCACTTAAAGATATGTTTATAATATGGTTTCTAAATTGGGATGATTCGTTTACTGTTTTTGTTTGTTTGTTTGTGTGTTGTTAAACGCCGCACTCAGCAATATTCCAGATACATGACGGCGGTCTGTAATTAATCGAGTTTGGACAAGATAATCCAGTGATTGACATCATGAGCATCGATCTACGCAACTGGGATACGATGACCTGCATTAAGTGAGAAGGTTACTTATTTTCAAGATCAGATGTGTATTAAAGACAGGGTGCCTATTTCATTCCTAAACTCTTCAGATGTTGGTCTTGTCTAGCATATATTTAGAGGAAATACGGCACGTGTTACTTGAAGCATGACACATGTGTTGCGCGACTTCTTCACTGTGGGACTCGTACATTGTTTGTATCGGAAATCTAATCCTCGTCTCAAACGCTGGGTGACGTGACCCAGCGAGACTTGAAGTAACCAAGATTTGTACGACTTTGTTTAGTCGGCTTTTAACAAATACACTCAAGGTATAAACTTATATACAAACAATTCTCAGGGTTAAAAACTGTATATATTCCAATCTGAATTTAACGTTCACCAAAAGGATAGGGCAATGTGTAATACAAATGGATAGTGAAAATATATGTGCTCTGATAAAAACTAGTTAAAAAGTGAAGGCATCAGTTTTAGAGGGGTTTTATATTACAAAACCAATTTCGTAATAAATTGTACTTTAATGAGAGACAGGTGTGTCTTACTTTCAGATGGGGCGCAATCGCATTGTAACGTATTCTGTCTGAAACAAGACATCTCTGGCCAATATTGAGTTAGATCTACATAAAAAATTGTATACGTCGTGGTGTATAAGTGTTCTTGGTACGTTTCTTGTTAAATGTTGATTCCCGTGGTAATGCAGACCCCCCTCCCCCAGGGTAGCTAACTACAGCCGTGTGGGCACATGGGGGTTGAGGACGAAGTGATGGCCCCAGAGATAGCACAGATATCCCCCCACGACGCTCCCTCAACTCATAATGAGCCTACCGCGCCTCGTTAATGTGTCAAAGTTCGAATTAACAAGCCAGGTGAAGCTCTCTCTCGAGGAATGTATCAGGAGATTATATACACATCACTGAAGAAGACTGGACTTAATTGACAGACAGATAGAGGTGGCAATTTGAAAGACGTAAATATTTATATCATTCATTTAAAGTTCTGAAAGTGTAAGGGGAAAGAATTTGGCGCCCAGCAAATGTAGAAATGGTAAACACAAACAGAACATACTTGGTTGGAAACGCGCGGAAGGGCGGGCCTTGTTACCAGCTTAGGCATTAGCGGGGAATGCGTGTTTGACATTACCCCAAAATGTGAGCTAGACCAATTCGGGTCACGTCAATTCTTGAAACAATTGAAACTGTTATTGGTTTCATATATCAATTTGATACCGAAATTGGCAAGTACATATAGAAACATTGATTGATTTAACTTAATCTGTGTAAAATAAAATAAATTTCGTATTACTTACCATGGTTGAAATAGTATAATAATTCCAAGGTGTTCCAAATACTTTCGCTTATCGTCGTTGCTCTTGCTCAGGTAAGGCGGAGAAATACATCAACCGTTAACGAGAGAATCAGCCGTATCCTTGTAAAAATAGACACAAACTCATTTATGGGTCTACTTTTCCTGTACGCGACAATCCCTCTCTAGTAGACGTTCATGAACCACTAGATATAACCTGTAGGCTCAATGCGCACTGCGAACTATTTACTGTCTCGGATTGCGAGGCAGAACATACTTGCGTGGTGAGAACACGTGCTTCTCGTGTCAGACAGGCGCGAGACCGCCCGGTGCCATATTTGGTAAAATGGGGAGAGCGAAGAATGGTCTTAACATTCAATTATACTCAATCGTCAAGGATCTTGACCTGATTTCACATTTATTTATTGTTTGGTCAGTGGACTTGAAGGACAGGTTCGCGAGCGTTGTTTGTTAGGCGCTGATCTAAGTGGAGCGACCAGGTAGGTGGAACCAGCCTGTCACGTGACGTGGTTTATCGGTACTTCGTTGAGGGCGGCATGTATAACACTGGAGGAAGACAGCAGGTTCTCACCTATAGAGCACATCCACAGTCGATGCGACGGTCATGTGCAGGAATGCAGGAACTACGCCCCCCTCTCCATCTACCCACATCGACATGGGGTACTTCCTACACAAAGCCTCGCGCCCCCGTTGTGCGCGTGTACAGACTTACAGAGATACTAGTCACAGGTGCGCTATTAGCTGCCACCAAGCCCTTCAGGACCAATAGCACCAGCTGCACAGTGTGTGTCACGGGCATAGGGTTGTTCTGACAGTCATCGCACACCCCCTCCCAATCTGTCTCTGTTGAAAACCTGTTTGTTGTTTAACGCCGCACTATTCCAGCTATATGACGGCGGTCTGTAAATAATCGAGTTTGGACTAGACAATCCAGTGATTGACATCATCAGCGTCGAACCTCCACAGTGTGCGTCACGGGCATATGTGGTTTTTGACAGTCAGCGTACACCCCTCCCAGTCTGTACCTGTTGAAATGGTGTACGTCCTACACAAAGCTTGTAGTTCCTGCTGTGACGTAAAGATACCGATAATACCTCTGCCTCCCAAGTGATTCAGCAAGTTAGCTTGTATTAGAACAATATTAATCATGGTGTGTTTTGTTTCTTTGTTGTTTAATGCCGCACTTAGCAATATTCAAGCTACATGACGGTAGTCTGTCAATATCTAGTCTGGATCAGACAATCCAGTGATTGTCGTCATGAGCATTGATCCACGCAATTGAGATACGATGACATGCATCAACCAAGTCAGCGAGCTTGACCATCCGTCGCCTCTTACGACAAGCATGGGTTGCTGAAGACCTATTCCTACCCGGGTCTTCACGGGTCAATCGCGGCGTGTCAGCTTATTGTTGGAGTGAGTGATTTGGGGTTTAACGCCGCTTTGAACAGTATTCCAGTTATAATACGGTGTTTCAGCTTTAATGTTTGAAGAGAGCCCAAAGTCATGCAGGTCTCGGGCGTTTACCACTTTGGTGAAACCCACGAGCACGGGTATGGTGCTGCCAAACCTATATACATAATCGGGGCGAACTGGGATTCGAACCCACAGTCATAGGTTTTGGGCGTGCCCAAGGGACGGCGCCTTAGACCTGGTCATAACCTGGTCGCATTAGTGTGGTTTTGTATTCCGAATGCGTGGACGCTATCTGAATGGGCGATACACCTAACATATACAAGAAGATGAAATAAGTTTCTTTATAACAATGCTTAAGAACCACACTTGCCAATATTACTGACACGATAGAAATACACCACACGTGTCTGTATGATAATACAAGTATACGCCATGTGTCTATATGACAAAGTTCTTACATTGCTACTTTGTAAACCGAATCCGGGTTTTCGGCGTAGTGAGCCAACGTTTGTGACGACTATATAGGCTACCACACACACACTCACACATGCACGCACAACGACGAAAATTGGACATTTTGTCCAAAAGTACTAATATTTATACAGTATGTGAATATATAACTTCGTAATATCAAAAATGAGTAGTTTAAGACGTCTATTCCACCAAACCACAATGTTTAATATATGTTGTACCTTTTGATGATTAAGGTTTAGCACCTCCGTAAAAAAAAGTATGGCCATAAGTATATCGAAATGACCTTAATCTCATTAAGATCAGATCTTAGTTCTCGCTTTCGCTAAACAAAGATCTGAGGACATCCCATTACGGGTCACGTCAGAACGACCTTTCATCCAACCAATCAGAGCGTCGCTTACCAGATCATATAAGTGACAGTCGGAATGTGTTTTCTAATCATGCAACCAAGATATATTTAACACGGGGTATTCCGAACGACAGTTACGGGTTTTTGGATTATATCCATACAATCTAGGCCATCTATAAGCCATTCCAGAATGTTTTTCATATCAGGTTAAAAAATTTAATCGAGAATACGTCAAAATATGTTTCGATGCGTAGTCGCCAGTTTGAAACTAGTGTCGTAAAGCTCGAGAAAGCTGCCATCTGATTGGCCAATGTCGATTTCTTATTCGTCATTTCATTGGTCGGTCAAAATTTGCGAGAGGTCGTTCTTACGTGATCCCTAATGGGATGTCCTCAGGTCTTTGTTTAGCGGTAGCGAGAACTAAGATCTGATTTTAATGAGATTGAAACGACCTCAAGATCATCTTTATGGTAATTATCACACTCATCTGACATATTGGTATGCTGAGATCAACCGTTAAACAGCCTTCTTGGGTCCTTATCTATAGACCGTGCAGCTGACGACATGCCACATCAAAGGGGAGATAACCCTCAGTTGCAACCCGCTGGCCTCAGCCATTTCTTATCAGAACGTGATATACGAGTAATTCTCCGACACAGGGGATGGCTTTATAGACAATATAAACAGATAACGTTCTCAGCACTCTATATATACACACACAAACGCGGGGAATGGGTTCGCCGCATATGGCTACTCGGCGATTTAAGCCTAATCAAGACCCCAATATGGGTTAAACGTTTTTAGAAATTTATTCATCTTTTTCGAAAGGATTCCCTATTACAACTTTCTACATTCAATTACTTCAGTCACATGTAATGGTTTTACTGAGTTATATATTCATATATTGTATGTGACTTTGTGCAGGTAGCCAGGTATTAACAATTAAAATGACCAATGAAGATCAGGGTTAGAATTGGTCTTCAGCAACCCATGCTTGTAATTATAAGTGGCGACTAACGGCATTCAGTGGTCAGGCTCGTCGACTTGCTTTTATCCCAGATGCGAGGAACGCTAAATGGACGTATGTTGCATCGTGAATGCATGTTTACTTCATCTGAACCATGTTTGGATGTCCTATAAGAAAGAGGTAAATCATGCATCTAAATGCTAAAACATGGACGGGGTCTTCCAGTAAAACAGGGACATGCATGGACGGGGTCTTCCAGGAACACACGGACATGCATGGACGGGGTCTTCCAGGAACACACGGACATGCATGGACGGGGTCCTCCAGGAACACACGGACATGCATGGACGGGGTCTTCCAGGAACACACGGACATGGATGGACGGGGTCTTCCAGGAACACACGGACATGCATGGACGGGGTCCTCCAGGAACACACGGACATGCATGGACGGGGTCCTCCAGGAACACACGGACATGCACGGACGGGGTCTTCCAGGAACACACGGACATGCACGGACGGGGTCCTCCAGGAACACACGGACATGCATGGGCGGGGTCCTCCAGGAACACACGGACATGCACGGACGGGGTCTTCCAGGAACACACGGACATGCATGGACGGGGTCCTCCAGGAACACACGGACATGCATGGACGGGGTCTTCCAGGAACACACGGACATGCATGGACGGGGTCCTCCAGGAACACACGGACATGCATGGGCGGGGTCTTCAAGGAACACACAGACATGCATGGACGGGGTCCTCCAGGAACACACGGACATGCATGGACGGGGTCTTCCAGGAACACACGGACATGCATGGACGGGGTCCTCCAGGAACACACGGACATGCATGGACGGGGTCTTCCAGGAACACACGGACATGCATGGACGGGGTCCTCCAGGAACACACGGACATGCATGGACGGGGTCCTCCAGGAACACACGGACATGCATGGACGGGGTCCTCCAGGAACACACGGACATGCATGGACGGGGTCTTCAAGGAACACACGGACATGCATGGACGGGGTCTTCAAGGAACACACAGACATGCATGGACGGGGTCCTCCAGGAACACACGGACCTGCATGGACGGGGTCTTCCAGGAACACACGGACATGCACGGACGGGGTCCTCCAGGAACACACGGACATAGATGGACGGGGTCCTCCAGGAACACAGGGACATGCATGGGCGGGGTCTTCAAGGAACACACAGACATGCATGGACGGGGTCCTCCAGGAACACACGGACCTGCATGGACGGGGTCTTCCAGGAACACACGGACATGCACGGACGGGGTCCTCCAGGAACACACGGACATTCAAGGACGGGGTCCTCCAGGAACACACGGACATGCACGGACGGGGTCTTCCAGGAACACACGGACATTCACGGACGGGGTCCTCCAGGAACACACGGACATGCACGGACGGGGTCCTCCAGGAACACACGGACATGCATGGAGGGGGTCTTCCAGGAACACACGGACATGCATGGGCGGGGTCTTCCAGGAACACACGGACATGCACGGACGGGGTCCTCCAGGAACACACGGACATCTTCCAGGAACACACGGACATACATGTACGGGGTCTTCCAGGAACACACGGACATGCATGGACGGGTTCTTCTAGGAACACACGGACATGCACGGACGAGGTCTTCCAGGAACACACGGACATGCATGGGCGGGGTCTTCCAGGAACACACGGACATGCATGGGCGGGGTCTTCCAGGAACACACGGACATGCACGGACGGGGTCCTCCAGGAACACACGGACATCTTCCAGGAACACACGGACATGCATGGACGGGGTCCTCCAGGAACACACGGACATGCATGGACGGGGTCCTCCAGGAACACACGGACATGCATGGACGGGGTCCTCCAGGAACACACGGACATGCATGGACGGGGTCCTCCAGGAACACACGGACATGCATGGACGGGGTCTTCAAGGAACACACGGACATGCATGGACGGGGTCTTCAAGGAACACACAGACATGCATGGACGGGGTCCTCCAGGAACACACGGACCTGCAT